CAGATCCTCAGCACAAATTTGGGATCGTCGATCTTCAGAGCAGCAGAAATTATTGGAGGAGGAGACATCACCTCAGGCCTGGTGGAGTGACTCTACCATGAATACATAGTCAAGTCTTCAACTACACCCAAGGTTGAACAAGTTACCATTATATCAATATTTATCAAATGCACCACTTTCTAATAGTGCAGTTTGCCTGACATCTTAAAGCTCCCAGTATGTGCTATAGATAAAACTGTGCTTCCATACTTTCTTTCAGAAATCACTGAAACAAAGTTGCAAGTATTCCCACCACAGAGAGGCATTCTGCGAACCTCACCAGGCATGTCTGACTGATCAGTTCTGCCTCAGGGAGCAGCTGTACCCAGCAGAGGTGCACAGGCAATGAGAACAAGAAGACAGGGGGGCTTGAGCTCCTCTCCAGAACTACTTGTGGCTGTTTTTAATTTCACATTGTTACATAGGAGAGAACATCGCTACACACAATGCATGTTCTATGCAAGTGCATAAAATAAAAGAAATGAAGTGTACTGAATCGTTGCTAAGGCCTAATCACATGATAAGACACATTCTCTTGAATTCTATCATTCTCTTCAATGTCCCCGAGGGGTCCTACATCTGGTCTGGGCAGTTTCTCTGATGTGCTCGACCCCAGCACTTGCTGTATAGCAGAAAGCTATGCAAATGAGGCCTCCCTCAGGGCATGAAAACCAGCCCAGCCCTGACCCTGCAGCTCTGGCAGAGGAGCCAGCACTGGATTGCCAACCATCCTGATTTGGTGATCGGCACTGAACACAGACTCACCATGGAGCTGAGGCTCACCTGGTTTTCCTTGTTGCTCTGTTAAAAGGTGATTTATGGAGAAGATACATTGCGTGTGTGAGTGAACACAGGTAAAGGAGACAGTAGGCATGTGTGAGTTTCCTGACCAATATTTTCTGTTTGCAGGTGTCCAGTGTGAGGTGCAGCTGGTAGAGTCTGGTGGAGGCCTGGTGCAGCCTGGGGGATCCCTGACGCTCTCCTGTGTGGCCTCTGGATTCACCTTCAGTAGCTATGGCATGCACTGGGTCCGCCAGGCTCCAGGCAAAGGACTGGAGTGGACTGCAGCTATTAGCCCAAATAGTGCTAGTATGTACTACCTAGAATCTGTGAAGGGCCAATTCACCATCTCCAGAGACAACGCCAAGAACACCCTGCACCTGCAAATGAGCGGTCTGAGATCTGAGGACACAGCCATGTATTACTGTGCAAGAGACACAGTGAGTGAATCTTACTGTGAGTCAGACACAAACCTTGCTGTGGAGTGCTCAGGCCCAGCAGGGGGTGCTGAGGACACACAAAGCTCAGGGTCCCTCCAGAGGAGGAGTAGAGGGGTGTAAAAATCCCAACCCCTCTGGGTCTCTGCTGGGTGTCTATGACATAGAGCAGTGTTCTCATATGAACTCTGTACAG